CCGACGACAACGAAAACCGCGATCAGAAGCGCCACACGGAACGCAAGAATGCCAACGCCCGCAAGAAGAAGAAGGCCGAGGACAACGCTCGTCTTCGCAAATTGCTTGACGACTGCTCGGCCAGCGACGAGCGCATCAAGCGCTTCAGACAAGAGGCCAACGCTGCCAAGAACAAGAAGAAATTCGAAAAGGAGGCCGCCGAGAAGAAGGCTCTGGAGGAGGCTCAGGCCAAGAAGGAGGCTGAGGAGAAGGCTGCCAAGGAAGCAGAGGAGAAGGCTAAGGTCGACCGAGAGCAGTCGAAGAAAGCCAAGGAGGCGGCAAAGAACGCTGTCAAGAAGAACAAGCGTGTTCTCAAGGGCTCGGTCAAGGACGCTAACTACTTTACGTCTGGCGAGCCTTCTGCTGCTACCATTGACTCCGTTCTCGGCGACGTCGAGCTCGTCCAGGGCAAGATCGACCCTGACGAGATTGCGGCTCTGGCTGGCAAGCTCAACGGCCTTAAGGTGGCTGATGAGATTAAGGGTGTCTGGAGTGAGGAGGTTAAGAGATTGGTCGGCGCTGGCAAGCTCAATGATGGCGACGCCAAGTCTTTGACTCAGTAAAGGAGACTCATGTTTTGATGAACTCCGACACGGTTGTCTTGGTTTAGGCGTAGAATATGACTAGACGCAATAGAATAGATGATCGGATGCCAATTTTCATTAGATGATTTTCTGGCTTCATTCTGAGGTCCTGTGCTATTCACTTCTTGCGAGTCGGACTGGCTCAGTCGAGCCCTTTGCTCACAGCCTTCGGCCCAGTTGACTTTTAAATTAGAGGTTCAGTTATGGATTGTCATGTCCTACCACACAGAGATAGACTGGGCATCGTTTTTCATGGTTGAGGCGATCTATTAGCCAGTCGACGACGGAAAGTTCGGCCTTCTCCAGGAGGCTGCCACAAGGTAGGTCAGCAACCTTGTCTCCGTCAGCCCATGGTACTGCCTCTCAACTACCCGACGCCGAACACGGGCCTCGAGATCCAGTGAAAGTTTGTGGGTTAGCACAAAGGTTGCCTGTTTGCTCATTCTTCTTCTTCTTTGTTGCTGCGAGGCCACAGCATCCCAGAACTCCCGGAAGCCCCGCCATCCATGATGTTTGAGCTGGGAAAGACGAATAACGAGGCGTCAGTCTGGAATTAGCCTTGAAGACGGCAGCGGTATAGTAGACAATTGAGTAACACAATATTTTGTCGCTTCATAACTAATCTCATTGTTCCTATTCATATTACTACTTCTGCTACTACTGCTACTACTGCTGCTGCTATTGGCTATTGCTATTGCTCCCGCTCCTGCTGCTATTATCATTACTGCTGTTTCCTTTTTGTACATCCATTCCAGGCTCTGTAAAGCGTTGTTTGATAGTTATAATAATAATAGTGGTAATAAGAAGACGGCTAGTCGTGCGTTGACCGGCAGACTACGTCTGCGGTGCCACCGATCTTCAGGGGGCCTTCTTGTTATTCTAGAAGAACAAGAATTTATGATCCGGTACCTATCTCTCATCCGCTGTCCACCGACGTTTCTGAACGGCCTGGCATTTATTCCCAGCTGTGTATTCGTCGTCTTGGGCGCAAAATTCATCTCGCAGTAAAAGTCACACGGGACAAATTTCTCATTTACCACGCCACGCCTTCCGTGCTTCCATCGTCAGGCAAACAACCATACACCACTCTTTTTTTTTTCAGAGGTCTCTCGCGACGACACTGGACAGACCATACGGACTGAAATTTCTTTCATATTTGGCTTTCCCTGCACCCATCTTCAGTTCTCGCCAGACTCACCTTCCTCAGCAGTCACACCTGCCTTCGCATCGCTCTTTCCCTCTTCCGCAGTCGCATTCCGCCTCCGAAAAGCCACCATGGCGACAATCAAGTGGATTGAAGAAACCAATAATCCGCTGCCGCAGGTAATGGTCTACTCTGCCCCTGAGGCCGTGGGGATTCCAATGACAAATCTCGGGATCGGCAATGACGGCAATGACGGTATCAGGGAGAACGAAACACTTCACTCAGTCCATATGGTTGAGGATGCCACCTCGACTATTGGTGCCGAAAAAGGCTCACGTCTTTGGAACTGGAGGGCGGTGATCGGTATATGCATAGGCCTTCTTATACTCGCCATCGTGGTTCCTCTCACAGTCACACTGTCAATCAATAATCACACGTCTGGTCCAGGCAACGCTGAGAACCTTGCGACTTCAACTGCCACATCATCTTCACCTTCTCCCACGGCTACCTCTCTGACCTCGCTCCCAGCCCCATCCTCAACTCTGGAGCCGGTAAGCAGCAGGCCTTACTCGCCAGTCGTACCATAATGTATGACGGTTTGTGTGTTTTTCGGTATCTGACCATTTATCATAGATTCCTGAGTGTTTCGAGTCCAAATTCATCCGAGAAGTCAACTGGATCGGTATTGACGAGGGTGGCGGCGGCTGGGTGTTCAACTTACACCCGGCCAAAAGCGCTCGCGACTGCTGCACAATCTGCCACCTTGGAACTCCTGACGGCTGCAATGGGTGGCTGTACATACCAGAGAACTCATCGACGCCGTCGTGTTCCATCATCCACGGCTTCAACGGCCCGAGTGACAGTGAGTCCTGCCCCAAGGGCCGTCCAGACATCGTCTTCACAAAGACAGGAGATAAAGACAGCTATGGCGGACCGGGACCTTGCTCAGGTTCAGTGCGTGGATAAGAAGAGTTTTCGACTAGACAAGCCGAACAAGACCCGAACATGGTCACTAAGTCTGTCGTCCGAGTGGGATTGTGGGAGTCGAGGTTCATCATCGCCAAGGGACGGATGGTTATAGGGGCTTCCTCATGTGTTGGTGTTTGCAGTTTGCGAGATACCCTTATAGTGGCAATGACAGCGAATTCTCCGAAATTAAACTCGTCACTGTTTTCATTGAATAACTGTAGAACATTGAGCTATTTTACGGGCTCAAACGTGATGGAGCGAAGCATTGCTGGCCAGCGGCCCCGTCCTATTTCTTGGCTAACAGTAAGAGCCACGAAGAAATAGCAACTGTTAATATGACGCCAATCCATGGTCACATGCTGCCATCTCATGGCGATGTTTTCCCGGCCAATGCTTCGACATAGGTTTGTTCATATCTCCTGCTTCAGATATCACGTTTTACTTGTGCCTGTCTTTCTTATCATAGCTTTCATGGGCTTTCAACTTACATATTTGGCGGAATTAATCGGGTAGAGGGGACTTTTTTTCTGATTATGATGGTCTTAATCACGATGGAGATCTCGACAAGGTAGACGGTAGATTATGATTTCACCACCTACGTGCCATTTCTAGATCCGTTTCACTGGCTTCCGTCAAGGTCAGTGGGTGTTGAATATGCTTCCAGTGAATTACTGACATGACCAAAATGACGGCTAGAGCCATTGAACAAAAACGTAGATGTACTCCAGGACCAGCTCCATTTTGGGCCAGGGATAAGATGAGCCTATTAGCTGTAACACAGCGAACAATGTCAGGGGCTAGACCAAATACTATCTCCCGGTTTATAGATACTCACAGTCATGACAATTCATCCAGAATCAGTGCTCGAAGGGAGCAACAGGCCCAATGAGATAGCGATGGGGGTGGAATAGGAAATATTACACAACCCTGTTAAACTTTTCCCGACCGACAAACTCGGACCCGGCGATGGTACAACATGTCGAAGCTCGGTAAACCACTCAGTGATCCCAGACATTGAGCTGAGATCCGGGGAATGGAACTACACAGCCCAACATATGCGTGTAATGGACATTTAACACGGACTCCAGGCTTCGCAGTTTTGCCGTGCGATGTTCAAGGCTCCCAACGAAACATCATCAGGAAGGGCGTGGTTGCAGCACGTGAGGGCTATGTAGTTTCGAGAGACTAATTTCTGCTGAGTACATCCGGACCGCCACGACAACTTAATACCCCAAAATGGGCAGCAAGAGACTGATGGTCAGCACACAAGGGTGGATACCTATACAACTTAACGATCCCGAGGGAAGCGCTCAGAGCCCATAATGTGACATCCGTTTCAGTGACGCTGACTTGAGAAAACGTCTCGAAGGTCGCTTACTTGACAGGCCCGGCGAAGCCACCAAAGAATGCTCAGATAGAAGCACAGCCGTTGGGTGCTCAGTCATCTTTGCGCGTGGCTTTGACGCGGCTCTGCGTCTTGAAGTTGCCGGCCACGCCGTCATACGTAACCACACAGCCCTCTATGCGGTTCGAAGGGATCCAAACGCAGGCCTTTGCCTCAGCCGAACGGCTCGTCCCATGGCTTGAATTCTTTCATGCAAGCTAGGCAGTGATAGATTCTCTAGCATCAGCGCGAGGATGAAACCCCCCCCCCCCCCAAAAAAAAAGACAAAAAAAAAAAGACCAATTGATGTAATTCGACGCTGACTGTCAGACCCAGAAGATCCCTAGAGTGCTGATCAATAACATTGCTGGGCTATGTCAGCGAGAAAAATGGAGCAAAGCGTATAGAGGTTGGGATCTAGTCATTGCAGTGTACTCTCGGTCCCAAACAAGTTCGTGATTTAGGTTTTAGGAACACGCTTCCACGCTCCTGCGTTCCTGTGCTCCTGCTCGGCGGAGCGTCGAAAACCTAGTTGATCACATTGCGCGGTCATCTTCTCCCGATGTCCAATCAACTTGATGTGACGAACAAGGCAATGCCAAGTTCCATCGCCGATGACAGCGATGATGGAACGAGAACATACGTCAGGGGCTAGGACGAGAAGGATGAGAAGAGAAACAATTACTAAAGACTCCTGTTGCGATACTTGTCTGATTTACATATATAAGCGTCCACAACAACCGCGCTCGAGATGATATGGGATCATTACCACTCACACATCACAGCTACAACACAATAATCCTTTTCGATAATCTCTACACACATCATATCAGACTAAACCACACCCGATAGTCTCTCAAAACACCCAACATAATCCAAAATGAAGACCTCATTCATCGCCATCCTCGCTGCCGCCGCCGGCATGGCCATTGCAGACAGCCTTGACGTGCCCGATTGTGCGAAGCAGTGTGTCAATGACGACATCCAGAAGAGCGGCTGCGCTCAAGATCAGATCAAAGACTGTTACTGCCAAAAGGCCAATGTTAACTCACTTGTCAACTGCGTCAGCGGCGCCTGCAAAGACCAGAACGACTTGATCAAGGCTGCGCAGGCTGCACAGAAGTCTTGCCCACAGCTCACAGGTGGTTTCATCCCTGGTACCAACAATGGCGGTGGCAATAACAACGGCGGCAACAACGGAGGAAAGAATTAGATCTCAGCAGAATTGACTCGTTGATACAAACCGTCCCGTATCGACTGATTCTCTCTTCCGAAGCCAAGGCTTTGCTTTTTAACCCACCATGGTGCTGTATGCATAAGAATCACACTCAGTGTGAAGGGAGGTGTTGAGGAAGCCAGTTCTGGGAAGGATTTTTCTCGGTGTCGTTGATAGTTGACAAGACGTGGTCACGATATTTGTACACAGGCGTGTAATAGCGCTAGTCAGTCAGGTAGAAGAAATCCGTTCCTCTCATATTTTTGTCGCAACCTTATTTGCCTACGAAGTGCCAAACGCTATTGGCCGTATGACAATTTCGACTTTCGCATCACTCTGAATAGACAAATGTCACGGCGGCCAACAGTCTATGTTAGTTAGTTGGCAGTTCTATTTGTGGATATTGCGGTTGGCTGGGTATCGTGCGTTCTGTATATTGTCTACTGATCTAAGTTACAAAAGTGGAATCTTGCTGTAAATATCATCATAAATCTTGCCAATCCAGCCGTCTGTCGGACCACCTCTCGCCACAATTCCCAGTCCGCCGGCAGCCCAGATGCCGGCCGCAGCTACAACGGCGCCGTGAAGCGCCCACCAAGCTCTCCTTTTCCGCCGTCGTACCTTTTTGTCCATCACATTGTGCCCACTACCACTCCATCCCATAGCCGTTGGCGCCAGGCCCAGCCATTTTGCTGCGCCCCAAACCATATGTCCGCAGCCTATTGCGAGAAGACCGGTGTATGCAATCCACGAGATGATGGGATGCCGGGCAAACCCATGCGAAACGAAGCCCAAGCCAATGTTCGAGCTGTCGCCGTCAACTTGAAGGGGAAGGATCCGATTGATGCCCGCGTGAGCAGCAAGAAGAACCGTGAAGACATAGCCGGAGATAGATATGTAGCTGACGGACGGCCATATCCTGCTAGCGGAGTTGACGCTATTGTAGGTCAAGGTTCGTGATGTTTTGCCGGTCTGAGCTCGGTACAAGGCGTACATGCCAGGTGTGTTGCCTCCATAACGCTTCAGATTCTGAGATCTGCGAACAAGGCGGAGAGCGAATCCAGAGGCAATGTGTGCAACGATGGGCAACGCTACAAGAAGTGGCTCCGTCAGAGATGTTTGGTATATTTCCCTCGAAAGTAGCAGGTATGCCTCGGAAGCTGGGACTGATCGCGCAAACAGTGGTATTATCGAGGTGTTGACAACGTGAAGTGAGGTGAAGACTGGTACTAGGTAGGAAGAGAACTTCTGGATCCGTGTTACTAGAAAGTTTGTACGCATTAGCCAACCTAACTTGCAATTGAAGGTGACAGGTTCTGTCTCTGCGTTCGCATTCGGCAACCTACGGTAGAAGATAGCGCTGTGGCCGCTGCCGCTTAATCCAGGCGCAGAAGATGTTGATCTGAGAGAGCCAGTGCTATTCTCTAGGGCATCTTCAGGCAGAGGAGGAAGATCTTTATCAACGTCCGCCGGTGGCGTCTCGATTGGGGACGGGTCTAGTTGAAGGAGCGATATGAGAGTCTCTTCCGACGGTTTCGAGTGAAGAGATCTGGACTCCATGGCTACGCAAGCGCCAGCACGACCGAGACCGGTCTCGGGAGCAGAATAAGTGTAATTCGAATCCGAGCTGTACTGATTTGAGGTTTGGAAGGTGAAGTTAGAAATGTCGGCCAGCCTCCAATTGTCAGACCAGGCAGCTGATCAATCCTCGGAACGTCATAGGTTGGCGTTGCAAGGGCGGCAGCACTTGTCAGTTCCCGCGTATGAGCCTGCAGGTTTAGTGGGCCTGGCGTCAATCCGGAGAGCCGCAAGACCTTCACGCTACAAGCTACGGCAAGGTACCTTACCCGGCTTGACCTTGCCTCACCTTCACTGATTCAAACCTTACTACCTTGCATCCATAGCCTGGCCACATTATTCAGGTGAAAAAACCTATAACCCCCCCCCCCCAAGAGAATGGTATATTTTCAAAATTAAAACGCGTTTGGCGTCCAGATGTAGACAAAGTCTTTCACGGCAGCGCGTCCATGTGTGGTGTACGGATACGGAGGAGGTATCTGTGATGTTCAGGGCCTGCTGCGGCTCCCCCGCATAACATTGTGGGTCCAATTTGCTGGGACTTCCATATAGAGCGGAACCTGCGAGCTTGATAACATCTCAGCCAGGACTCCTAAAGGTGCGATGGTAGCCTTTCCACACACCCATCAGTCATCATAGAACCTCGTCGCGCCTGACCGGTAGCTCTTCGCTATCTTAACTCTACAAACATGCCTCCGGTAAGAGCAATTCTAGTTCTTCTCTCTGCTTCAACAAAACCCTGATTCTCCGTGCGCTTGCCCAGAGACACCAAACACTGCCCCCGGCGCAGACCGCTGCCGCCCGCGAAGCCCTGCAATCTTTCTATTGCAGCCTCTGTTCGAAGGGATACTCTCGCATGAATGACTATGAGGCGCACCTCAGTAGCTATGACCACAGTCATAAACAACGCCTCAAAGACATGAAGGCTATGGTTCGCGATCCGAACGCCGGCGCCCGAGCCCGGAAGGCTGAAGCCAAGGCGGATGGCCTCGTCAGCATCAAGCTCGCCAGCAACGAGCAGCCGCAGCAGTCTACGGGAGGTGGAGGATTCAAGAAGAGCGGCTTCAAGAAGTCAGGTTTCAAGTCGGCGTTCGCACCTGTCGATGTCCCAAACGCGCCAGATGCCCCTAGATCAAAAGTCGGCCAAGCCCTAGAAGCAGACAGACTTGCGAGCGCACGCGAACGGGATGCCCTGATTGAGAGCGATACCGACGACGAAGGCTACGAACATTACGACCCGCGATACCCCACCGAGTGAAAGCCCAAACCAAATGTACGACACGCATCATGCGCAATGGAGCAAGCTGTAGCCTGAATGGGCGCAGGAGCAGATTAAGGCCATGAGGCGTTTCGACGATATTTCCATTCTATATGGGCTCACAATGACATGTGGCGAAGCCTGAAACTACCCCTTAGCCCTCGCATTGCTAGCTATTGCCTAGCCTCGCATCCTCGAGTCACTCTCGGATACAGGATCGTGTCAGCGAGATCACGATCGGTAAACTCGACCCAGTCCGGCGAGAACGCGATGGCTCACTCCCTGCCGTTCCTCCGCAGCCAATCTAATTGAACTGGGATAGGTCTTCTTCAAGCAATCCCATCATGTACTGGCTACCTGAGAACCAGTTGCCCAGTTGAGCAGTTTGAAGGGTAGGCTGCGACATGTCGCTTGTATCCATGCCCTGAGCAGGATATTCCGTTGGCGGGAATCCTAACGCGCTCAGATAGACATCAAATTCGTCGTTGATGGGGCCACGTTCATTTGATTGCTGGGACTTGCTCTCCACGTAAAGCGTTGCCACATTACAGAGCATTGAACAGAGCTGGTGAAGCTTCTCTACCGGCTCCGACATGGCGCATGCGGGTCGAAGTGAAGCAACGAACTCATTCAGCTTCTTGAGATCGTCAGCGCTGGAAGTGTCAATGACGTGACAAAAAAGGACGAAGAAGGGCGTGAAAGGAGTAAGGAGAATTGCCCTACGGACGAGTCAGCATGTATCATAATCAGTCTATTGCTTCGACTGACCAGTGAATATAGACTGCTTTAAGATGCCGCCCTTCCTCTGCAATTCTTTGCATGCATTCAAGGTGCAGCTGCATGGCAAATCGTGCCGTGTCTATACATTCCTGAGAAAACCGCGTTGGCGAACCTTCGGGCGCTGGCAATGCCCTGTAGATGAGAGTCAACGTGGACTGAAATGTCAGTTCGTCGCCTCGCAGGTGTATATCCAAGATGGAGGATGCGTTGAGGGCCTTGAGGCCGAAGAGAGCCTGCTCCCGCACGTGCGACGCAGCGGCCATGATTGTCTTTTGTTCATTTTCCAGGCGACGCACGGTCTCGATGCGCTCTTCTTGCGACTGGCCCAGAGCAAGCGGACTGTATCTGCCACGCACGTTAGCTTGATATTTTGTATCGTTGAGATAATAGAGTCGAACAATTGTTCATAAACGCGGTGTTGAATCTCAGCCTGCTTGATCCACGTTGTTATTATGAGACCCCATGGATCCGCAACCATGGTGTTGTCGACCCGCCGCGGCAAGGTCACGTCCCAATCCTGGATGACCGATGCCCTCCCCGTTCTCAGGGACAAAGTTTTGTCGAGCATGTACACATGCCAGAACAAGAGGGTCTTGATGTCTCTAGGCCCGGCGCTCTCGCTCCTCACTTGCGATACGCGATGGTAGCCAAGCGTCTGACACAAGCTTGCAGCAGTGGATGTGAAAAGCCACGCGAGCGACGCTTTAGATACATCCACAGCATAAACGGCCTGCAGTCGCTGTCAGCTGTATTGTCTACAAACAAGCACAGCAAGACTTTTCACGAACCGCCAGGAGCAAGGCTTCTATGCTCTCAATCTTTGCAGGGAGCATCAAAGGCAAGGAAGCTAGAGCCATTTCCAGATTGTTTTGACACATATGTTGGTACCTCTCAAACTCTTCGCGCGCAGTCGCATCCGATGCTAGGTATGCTTGTTCCATGAACAAGTAGAAGAGCGCGCCATTCACTATGATGAAGGTGGTATCGGCAAAGTTGTCGGTGCAGAAGTAGACTCTCCGGCAGAGCTCAGCCAGGTCATCAACATCGAGGAAGGAGCATGCGAGTGAGAAGATGCTGGGGGGAGAAACTACTCTCATGTTAGTCTGTTGAACTCTGAAAATTAGGAATGAGAGGACCTTTCATATGCTTGAGCAAGGCAACGACGGCGTTCATCGGCGGCATGGGCAATTCAGGCAAACCTCCTGGAGGAAGCGGCTGATGCGTACGGAACCGAAAGTCTCGATTAGAAGAGGCCTTGCTCTGCATAGCGACGATCTGCCTGAGGGAAGAGAGCGCAGCTTGCATGTTGGGGGCCACGTCCTGGAGCGAGGTCCTCTGCACGGCGTCTTCGATAAAGTCGCTGGCGAACATGGTGTGGGCAGTCAAAGAGAGGTCGCCCTCGAAAGCTGAATCCGAGTCAGCACCGTCGTGGGATAGGACAGAAGCATCCCCGATAGTCGAGGCTGAGGGCGTCGTATGTCTGGCCCTAGTGGCATCCCATGAATGACCACCCACGCCAGGAGGGTTGTTGCTGAGGCTCCGCAGGAGCTCCTCGATATTCGAGAGTCGTTCCTCGATGAGGTCAATCTTTTTCTCACTGGTAATAGGAATGTCAATATTGGCGTTGTGCACCGTCAGATTTCGCAAGCCCCGTGGTATCAGGTATTAGGGAATCGTTTGGGTGAACACAAGACGGTGAACTTATCCGGTAGTGATGATGGGAAGCGAGGTGTAGTACTCAGGGAAGAGGGCAAATAAAGGTAAGGTAGATGGCGTACTATTGAAGAGAAATGAGCACGCGATGTCTCTGCTCTTTTGGCTTCTGACCAACACCGTTTGAGCTGCAGGAGCGTTGAGTTATACGGCAGTTGGAACATGGTGAACTCTTATCACACCGGATCTGTAGTGCAAAGCCAAAATATGTGTCCTGTCAGCAAACCCGGAATCTCAATTTAATGCGTGGGCTATACCTCCTTGGCGCAAGGCAGGAGGGGGGAGGAGGGGCAACAGCGGGCAGGAAGAATGCCCTGCTTGGAGTGTACAGTTTCGATCGAGGGCTGGTGAAGAAACAGACACGAGCGGATTGGGGACACCAACTTTACGGGTGCGACATTGATCACACTAGACAACGAAAGATTGAGAGTCAGTACTTGGTTCTAGTGGACGAGGTTTTACTGGTGAGAAGAGGGCCTGATGGATCGTGTGAAGCAAAACAATCTGAATATGGACGTAGGTGACATACAGCTCGACGGAGGCCCTGGTCATCGGGGCCCGCGGACCGGGCATCAGAATCCATGTTCATGAAGAACAACGCAAACCCAACACTGCAGCGTGCCTAAGCCGTGCTTTGCGGCGGTATGTGCCAGTGTGTGCCAAGGTCTGCTCTGAACTATTGGCCAAGGCAGGGCCCGTAAGGAGGGCGCCGCTGCAGGGCAGTGGTTGAATGGTCTCGGAAACCGAGGACGTATGCGGCCAGAGGAGACAACGGGGACGCTCGTTGCGTTGAAGATGCAGTTGCCTTTTCGCTACTTACTACGGACCGAGAGCGAATAAGTTGCAGTACGGGTGGTTGGCAAGCAAGAGATAATCAGTTGAGAGGGATGTGGAGTGAATGGAACCGACAGTATGGTAGTGGTCTAGGTCTGGGTCATGGATGCTGGGGAACGAGGATTCGTCTAGGGGCGGTCCGTGAGGATGGGCTTACAAAGAGCCAGCGAGCGAGTGAATGATTGAGAAGGTGTGTTTGTGGGTGGGAGGAGACGGGAGGAGAGTAAACTATGAATCGAAATGCGGCAATGACAATGGTAGTGTGTAAGGTAGGTATTGGAACCGATGAATGAGCTTATTTTGTCAATCCTTGGCTTATACAACGTGGCTGTGCCAGTGCAGCTCGATTACGATGAATCTGGAACGGTTGAGCTTTGGTAGGAGACAGAACTGACGGCCTAGGCTGGCGGGCCGCGGTTGAGATTTGGATGAATGTGAGGCTGAGGTTTGAGGTCTCTTAGTGCAAGGTGAGCATTGGTGTTCTGTACGGAAGATAGTTGAGAACGCGCTAGGTTCGCTAGCGACCCCTCTCTCCTCCAAGTAAGTATCTACTGGGTAAGCTAGGTAGGTAACGCAATGCTGACCAGGCGGACCTAGGCGACCAATGAGATACGGTCCAGGACGTGCTACCATACGTGAAGCGGTACATGAAGGACACCCGCCTTCTCTCATTGCCTGTAGACGGTAGAATAGGTATAGGTAAGTCTTCCCTTTTAGTGAAGCGAGAAGACATCCTAGAGACAAGGGTCGAATGCATTAGTTTCGATGCTTGACTCGCTCTCCGCACATGCGACTCTCCCTGAGCACTTGGGCACTCTACCTTATAAGGGCTGAGGTATTCTACTGCCTTTTGTCAATGGTAAGAAACGTACGGTATGGCATTGCAGCAATGTATTAGATTAGCTTATAGCCTCGATATCAGGTCAAGGTGCTGTGTACATACAAGCATGCTGCGGTACCAGGACGAATTCTCTAGGTGTCAAGGTATTAATTAGTCCACGGTGAATGATGGCAAGGGCCTGTCGGCAGCTTTACCGACACCTGCCCACTTCAATGATGGGCTGCGGGCCTGCGGCATGTACCTTACTACGTCTCGGGCACCCGCGGATGCCATCACTCAGTCACCACCTTTCTATGCATACAGTGGTGAATAAGGTATCCTGTCAAGCTGTCTCCATCAGGAAGCCTAAACAACCTGCATTACCTTGAGATGCAGTCCGAAGTTTCTCTCCCGCAACTGTTCCGTGCTCTCCCCATCTCCTCAGCTTTCGCCGGTGCTTCAAGCGTCGGCACGCCAGCCAGGTACCTTAGCTTACCGAAAATCTTCATCAGCCGATCTTTGTTAGATCCCATCGATCATCTCCAGTCCGTCCAGCAGAATCCAATTGAAGCCGAGAACACCCCACTCTGTCCGAGCTGTTCGCTCTCCCGTCAATTTCGGCGACGCTCACTTGCAGTGCGATTCGAATCAATCAACTGGCCGGTCATAAAGCCAGAGAGGTTCGCTACACTATCCGTACGCAGCCCCATCGCTGTCTCGGAACTCTATCCGCGCAACCCAGGTATCTGGACGTCGTGCGTTGTGCACTGCAGTCAGGCCGTGCGCAACGCCGGCGTTGAACTCACAAATCTTCGCGGCTAGGGCCCGAATTGGAATTTTCTGTGCTTGAATCGATGTAAGGTAAACCTGAGGTACGTGGGCTCATTGTACGGATGCCAGAGTGCTGGCAACAAGCACGGGATAATCGACCAGAGATGCGGCGAGAACGCGGTTGCCCGTCTCCGATCCGATTCCCCATCCCCAGCAGAAGCATCAGGCGGAGACCGCCTGCAGAAAGAGCTAGCAACCCAGACCCAACTAACATCTTATCTTGCCTGAAACAAACTAAGTAGGTGTACTCTATGCAGTAGAATTAATACCCGATTCTGTATACTTGCCAAATTTGACAGACTTACATGAAGCTAGCGTGGAAGAATCCTTCGTGGATTTATTCCTCTGTGCCGGATCGCCTCGTCGCAATCTTCTGAGTCTTTCCTTCGGGATTCGCAGCTCCCTGAGATACTTGACTGATGGATGATTGACAGCTCGTAGTACCTTGTCATGCCGTTCCTGAATCCGAGCGCTGCTACAGCCATGGGCACTACCAAGGCCCTTTGTATGGTTCCTCATGTTCACAGTCGTAGACCTAGGCCGATATTCGATCTCGGCATTCACGATGTAAGTTCCATGCCAACAGTGTCGACGAGCCAAGTCATGGATGGATTAGAGACCTAGCTCCGTGATTGAGGGACTGTCCCCCAGCATCACAGTACCGCGATTAGGCACATGTACAGGCTTGAGAGCATCAATTTTTGATGCCATCTTCGTAGTGCCTTTGCTGAAACAGAATCTTTCAAAGACCATCACCATGTCAGCCCAAATACTCAGTCATAAATGCGCCTCAATGGGTGTCATATTGGCTTTAAGAATCTAAGTAGAACCTAACTTATAGGTATAGAGTAGATATTTCAGGCCACGGATAAAGGATGCGCAGCCCTTGATGTAAGCAATAGGGAGTTTGAAAATTCTCGATGAAATGTCTTCATGTTGCAAGAGTACACTTGAAAAGTCAATGTTGTCAAAGTACGCCAGATGTTTTGCTTTTGGAACGCGAAGGACCTCTTCAACCGATCGAGATACTTTAGGATCGAGGTCAAGATATCGTGGGTGAGCGCCAGACCTCTCGCCCCAGGCGCGCACAGGCCCTCGGTTCGAGCTTTATCTTATCTCTTATCGGGCAGTGACCGCATCTTTTGGGCTTGCTTGGTGGCTGTGATCAGTGACCATTAATAATGCCGCCTTAGCACTTCGTCCTCATGCTCGATGGGGACCTCACCGTCACCGAGCATATTGATCACAATCGAAGATGCACCTACCGTTCATATCAGTTCTGACCTGAGGACGTTTTGAACAAGGCATGTAAGGCAGGCTTCGGCAAGCGCTTTGCTTGATTTCGAAAATGCATGGGAAGCGGCGCAATGCGCCCGGCAGCAGCGACGAGCGCCCCAGACCTACAAAGCATGCGCGCTTCACCGAAACCCACCCCTACGATTCGGATTCGAAATCGAGGCCCCAAGACAAGGCTATGTTCGCCGCCAACGACTTGCTGTCCTCTCTTTCAGACGAGCTTCTAATCCGCATACTGTCCTTCCTATCGACTTCTAATCTTCTCGGTATCTCACCCGTTTCCCGCCGTTTCTACCGCCTTTCTGCCGACTCTCAGCTCTGGCGCACGCTTTACTACCATCGCTTCGTCCTGCCGCGCGCTTTGAAGATACCCGGTTTTCGCGATGGCTCTGCACGAGACAGCAGTCGAATACAGTTTTCCACACGCCGAACCGTCTGGGCCGACGGTGGCTGGGGTCGTAGAGATGCTCTGGGAGATTCTGTTGATTGGAAGCGCCAGTACAAACTACGGCACAATTGGGCTAGCGGTAATGCCTTGGTTCAAGAGGTGAAGGTTGGGGAATCTTTGCTCGACTCTGTGGGCGCAGGGAAGACTCTAGTCAAAGTGATTGAGGGTATCGCGGTCACTGCCGACTGCGTTTCTGGCATGCGAGCCTGGGACCTCAAGACGAGAGAGCCTATCGCCCAAATCAGCTTCAAGGATGGCAACTACGGATCATCCCCTACTTGCTTAGCGATCGATTCCCGGAAGTTTGAGAATAAGAGGCTCGACGTCGCAGTCGGGTTTCTGGACGGGAGCTTCGGCGTTTGGGAGCTTTATATCGAAGAAGGCAGGTTTCAGAAAAGATACAAGCACGAAAAGTCCAGCAACGGCCGACTGGTGGAGATTGTCTATCATCATCCATTCATTCTCACGGCAACAGAATCAGTTCTGATATCTCTGTACGATTTTGAACGAGCATCCTCTGGCGAGAAGCCAGTGGCGTTCAGCAACCAACGAGACACTGTCACTCTAGAAGAAAGGGGGACTGATGCTTCTGCGGAAACTGCGACCCTTTCAGAGTTAGAAGGCCCCGTGGCAGCGTTTCCATTTTCAATGTGTGACAACACTCAGAACACATCGCAAGGAATCACCCCACTCCCTGCTCCTGTTCTTTTGACTTCACTCAAGTCACACACGTCCAGAGCCCCGTTGGCTCTGTCTATTCGTCAGGTGGCTTCGCATGTGATTGCGTCGATTGCATATACGTTTTCCAGTTTGGAAGGATGGTCCATTGGTATACAGGATCTACAGATACGGCCACAAGGCGCAGGCCAGCCATCTTCAGAAATCGTCTCAACACGACTCGCTTTCACCAAGCCTGTGAAGGCTGCGCCTACACGTTCATTGGCCTCCTCGACTGCGAGCCCGCGACTTCCATCTCAAACACAAGCGCCCGAAGGCCCGACGACACTGTGCTACAGCCATCCGTATCTTTTAGCTGCGTTGCCAGATAATACTATGATTCTACATATTTGTACATCAAATGCCACAAAGCTCGACCTTTCTTCAGGTATTCGCCTCTGGGGCCATACGTCAGGCATCAGTGACGCTGAAATCACGACACGAGGTAAAGCCGTGAGCGTCAGCTCTCGAGGCGAAGAAATACGGGTCTGGGAACTCGAGGGACGCGTCAATGGCAAAAGTATCGAGATCAGGCCAAAATCAACCTCAGGCTCTGTTCCCATAGATATCGCTGTGCCCTCGCCTGAAGCGACGCCAGATCGCTGGGATGACCGACGTAACTGGGTGGGCTTTGATGACGAAATGGTCATCGTGCTGAAGGAAGCCAGGGACGGGAAGGAGAGCCTCGTTGTGTACGATTTCTCATGAACGACGTCGACGGGGGACCAGAGCCAGCACCATCCCGCCTGAGGTTAGACGAGAGGTTTCAACGCTTGGCTAGCTTAGGCAGCTGCGACTTGGACAGGACATTATTCGACGATTGTATCTCCGCAGCCGGCAAACGTACGCAACTAAGGCAGGCCACGTCAATTCACGAAGAAGGCTTCCACAGACTCGCTTGATCAGTCGATGGGACCTTCCCACCGTTGAATAACGGCCTTGCCCTGGTAGCTAACCTGTTCACACAAGCACAAAAGCACGCAAGAGTAGTCTCGTAGGGTCAAAGAGCTTGTGACACTGGCGGTAGGCAACAACTGCTCTGTCAGGCAGATAGGCATCAGCGAGGTGCAGAAGACAAGCTGGTGCCTGGAAGACGAAAACGAGGCCATGGCATGTCTCATCGTCCTTTTTCCAGCTCTTGCTTGCGTTATCCTCATAGAGAAGCTAAACGTAAGCCCAAAAGTTCCTACGCCAGTCAGCGGCAATGTCGAATAGGCGTTAGGGTTTGAACCCAACTTAGACGACGACTCGGATGGCGACCACGATGCCCAGAGTTCCTCGATATTATCTACTGCCCCGAGAAGTTTGGCAATGATGAGAGACTCTATGCATGCCTGGCATGGGCGTCAGTAGATGTGGAGAAAACCCCTCAGGCTAAGCGGTCAGGCCTAATGAATCGCTGCATCGACGAAGCACCCGATAGTGAGGATCTCTTGTGTTGGACTCTGTCAGCCTGGAATACCTGGCCATTTCGTTCGACTGAGCTGTTGATTTGGTTCCGCGGTTGTGAAAACGAGGGTCTTGCTGTCAGGTATCCATGGACATATGAGTTGCGAACGGCAAGATTTCCGGCATGGAGCCTATCTCAGCATCGTCGACACAATATTGAAGTTCAAGGGACAGAAGTTGTGAAAGAGGCGAAATTTGAGGCCAGACCAGCTGGAATGTATCAACCGATCCGTCTTTTCTAGAACGCGTTCATGCCGACCATCACTTTTAGGCATTGTCACGAGTTGATCACGTTGCTACGTTACAGTGCTCATTCCGCTCCTCTATAGAATTTATACTAGACCGGAATACAAGATAGGCCACCGAAGTCATTGTCAAGAGCTTGACAACCTGGAGGTATAATGGGACCAGGCTTGCGAACATTATTTATGCATGGTTCATGGCTCATGCAAGTATTGATATTAGCAGCACACGTAGAGGACATTCATACATGATTTTGTTCAACATGTAGTTAAAGAAACAAATATCATGAACCAAGCGATTTCAAAATTGCCTTGCTGCTGGAGGCCGAATCTACCAAGATACTGCCATGGACTAAATGCAATGTAGCCAGTGAATGCTTTGAAGTGATACCTGATGAATCAAATCTCAATTGCAGGACTATCAGCGGCTGGACTGACCATATTCATTAACATGACTTTGAAAACCGAGGACGTCGATTCCTCAGGTACCCGATGATGCCTACAAATGCGTAGAGAGGTCTACAAAGTAAAGGAATCATGAGGTCTCATTGGCAACATCGTGCCATAATTAGGATAGGACTTTCAAGCACACTTCCCTAGCAAGCGTTTCAAGTAGTTGCCTCAATTAACACAGACTGTGGCAGTCGAGGTAGTCGAAGTGATTTAACAAACCCTCCCCCCCCCTTTTCAACACGCGTGGGGGGCTGACACCTTTGACGCGCCATGTGACGAACTGTACTTCGTACAGTGGTTGATGAAATCTGGTCCATTTCTCGTACAGCCGAGACATCCTGTCTCAAGTTTGGACTTGGCCGTTTTTCACCTGACAAGCTTCGTGAGATACATGATGTTGTTGAAAGAGAAATCCAGCATAAACTGGGGAATGAATCCAGTGGCCAATTGACTGCCAACTTCCAGTCTCATTCACGACGGTTCTCTGACTCTACTTGTGTACAGAGTAGGGCAACGATGAAGCAGATTCCACCACCAATGTGCACAAATGTCGAGAATTGTCTTGCTCTTTCGCTGAGGAATCCAGGCCCCATTAGGCCCCCGCTGACCCACTGGGTCTATGTCCCTGCTTGCTAGATCAGGCAGGCCGTTTGTATGCCGATAGGTAGTAGCGTGCGCACTCAGTGCCCCACGTACCTTCACATGTAAGAGTGCTGAGGGGGTGGGAGGAGTGAGAGGAATGCAGTTGGGAGGGGATAAGATAAGGCGGCTATCTTGGAAGAAGGAGGGGTGATAAGAAGGCTAGATATCGATACCGCCGCCTCACCCTTATTCCCCTCCTTGTGGCGGCGGATGGTGAGTGAGGGATTGTCCGTGGCATTGACCAACCGCACTCGGCTGTCTTGTGACAAGATCTAGATCCAGCAGTCAATGGCAGGCTAAGGCAAGGCAAGGAAGAAGAAAAGGAAAGAAGAAAGAAAAAAAGGGACTGGAAGTGACGCTGGGCCAACAATGTTGAACCAATCATGGAGAGGTATATGATCATGGCGATGCGTATCGCGCGTCCCGTCGATAAATCACTGCCCGCGGCCGATGTGAAGATGAGAACGAGTTACAGGTTGGGCCAATAATTCGAGCCCGTTGACCGCCATCTTTGTTTTACCCCTCCTTTCGCTCCCCTCTTCTCGGGAGAATTGGGCCAGAAGACGTCCGTCATCCCTTGCCTTGCGATGTCGCTCGACTCATTGAGAGACGCCAGGAGGGTGTTGGAAAGTGGATTGCTGATGTCGCAATTTAGTGCCGCGAAGAATTGCCAAGGTTCGTGGGTAAGTCCGGTAGGTATGCGTGAGGCCAGTAGAAGTGGCCAATTCCGAGCACCCATTTTTTGGCATCTGATGGGGTCCAATTGGGAAACAGGGGGGGGTGAGAGTGAGCGAAGCCTGATCCATCAACGGGCACACTACGGCGAAGTCCTATCCCAATAGCCATCGCCAGTCATTATCGTGAGATAAGATGTCCGCAGTAGGACACGGTGTGGGATGGTGGTCTCACTTGAGATTCGGGCCTCGTGATCATCTCGCTACAACAGTGGTGAAGCCATCAAACCCACGAAGGGGAACGAACGACATGACGACAATGCGCCGACGGGCTACGAGCGAGGATGCGGAGGTCGAGGTTCAGAAGACGGAACCCGCGCCAGAGAACGCCGTTGCTGCGGTCTCATGCCTGCCCGCAAGCCCCCCAAGCGGCGCGTCTCGTCCATCCCACGAGACCACGCAGACGTAGTCGGTCGGTTGGTGGCAAGGAGGGGGCTTGGGGGGTAGTCATGTGGCCATAGTCTCAGTCGAAAAGGGTGTGGTCGTCGAGCATATCATTGACACCATCTCAGGTTGATAGACAACCATAGCGAGCAGACGTTGAGGTCGTGGACGCCAGCTGACAACGAGGATGAACCCAACCTCCACCGACCACCCGAGGGCCTGGTGATGCGCTGCTGCACGGCGGCTGCTACTGATAGCGCCCGTTCCCGCTATCGATAAGTTTCCGTTGATGCTCTAACAGAGTAAGGTATGCAGACCATCTCGCCTGAGTTAGACCGCTGGACACAGTGCGCCTTTGGCCCGTTGGGGCCCTTGGGGTCCTTTGGGGCAACCTCTGTTCTGGGGGGGCATCTGGGGCGATGATCTGGGCTTTCTCAAGATTTCAAAGCGGCCCGGCTAGTCAAACTCGAAATGTCTCGTCGCCTTTGCTATCCGCGAGAACCGCGCCTCGGAGTCGGAGCAGGCAACCAACGTGGATTGCGCGTTCGATTGCTACCGAGAGAGTAGTGGTCATTGGCGAAAAGTGCTTCTGTTTTCCCGCCATCTCTTCAGCAACTTATCGATTAAAGCCGTTGCTGCAAGCGTAAAGAGAAACTTGAGGTATCATCCAATGTCCTTGTGACGAATGATATGTCAAGGCTCATCTCAAGAACTCGCCTCGACAGCGACTTGGTTGCACATTATTTACCGATTGATCCTAACCTTCGGTGTCCCGATTTTTTCCATCTTCAGACTCGCCTGCCGGCCTCTTCTGGTTTTGCTTGGGGGCCGCAAGTGCGAGACATTACGTCGTATTTTGTACCAGG